CGCAACACCACCACCACCACCCTCAGAGTCCACGCCCCCTCTGGTGCTTTTCTTTTGGACATTTTTCCCTATTCCTATTCCTCCACGCCACGGAAAATTCAATTATCGAATGCGAATTTTTGCTCCTCTTTTTGTGTTCTTTTCGTTTCCGCTTCGAGTGTTTTTTTGTTTCAGCCGAAAGCATCCCAAGACGAACTTTCAGCGTATCAGCATTTATTTGCTGTTGATTTATGCAGCCCCACCCGCCGTGTACCGTGTGCCACCCCCTTTGGGATGTCAAACAATCGTCATCGACATCCACATCCACATCCTCCTCTCCATCCTCAGCCTCATCCTTATCCCCATCCCCAGGCTGAGGCAGAGCCAGAGCGTTGTTGAATATTTGCCAAGTATGCTGATTGAATTTTTTCCAGTTGACTAAATGATATCAAGGATATTTGCCAGGCAAGCGCGACTGCTGCTGCTCCTTTTCCCAATGCTTTAAGCCTATGAATTGTATAATTTACAGGATTTACAGGGACTTGGGATATCTTTGATTACATGTATAGCCACTGGGCAGTTTGGGATATGTGGAAATATTGCCTAATTTTGGCTAGGGAATCAGTAAATAGAGAGACTCTAATAAATATTATCCTGTGGGAATATAAACTACACATTCTAATGAACCCTTTTTATAGATGTACACGTATTCTTGGGGTATTTATAACAATGTAAGCCTAATTTATAAATCTAACTAACTAAGACCATAAAATATTCCCTAGAAAAAAATCCCTTTCAAGATCTTAAAATTCCTTCCCAAAACACCCACTTGTAAATTATCTCAAATAACCAGGTTTATCTTCAACAAAAACTAAATTAAATTGTTAAATTCAAAGGCAGATTGCTAAACCATATTTGAGTCCAAGTAAGAGCCTTGTGCAACTACCAATTTAATTACAAATCCCGTTAACAAACCCCGCCCACAAGTGCAACCGAGATGCTTCCTTCTTCCTTGCCAGCAAACCCGGCTGTTTGCTCTGCATCCTTGATGTGAGCAATCCATCCTTTCGGATGCCATCTATAAACCATTTAAGCAGCAGCGCCTGCTGCTCATTGTCAATTTCCAATATTTAGACAGGCAACTACTAATAATCGTGTTTGGCCGGCGTAAAGCGAGCATGCATTTTGCAAATACTCGATACACCCGATATACCCCAGATGGAGGGATAATTAACACTTGTGCCATCGAGTGGGTTAAACAACAGTTGCAGCTAGCAGCTAGCAGCTCGCAGCGATCTATTTGAATCATCCGTTGGCCATGCAATAATTAATATGCCCAACGTGCAACAGCAGCAGCAACTCATTCAGAAACGGGGGTGCTAACATGGGGTGCCAAAGTGGGCCAAGGGGGAGGTAACAACGGCGGTTGGTGTGCCATAAAAGGCGTTAAATTGACACAATTGAACACACCCTTGAGATTCGAGTGAGTGGGTGAGGGCTTTCTCACTCGTTTGTTTGCCATTGCAGCAACTGATGTTTTGATGTTGCTGCTGAAGAGGGGGTGCAATGTCAGTGCTGGCAATTTGTCCTTTTCACTAGAAAGATTAGGTATTATTCTTAAATTTCTGGAATGCATAAATATGAAAAATAATATGGTTTATTTGTACATTTTCCTAGATTTTTGTTGATGAGAAATAATTGTTTAAAAATTGAAAATAAGACAAGAAACATAAATTATTTTAAATAAATATTTTTAAAATATTTCTCATTTCCTTAATATATTCTTAAAAATAGAATTTAAGCATCGCTAAAGTTAAATTTTAATCGCAATACACGAGCAACATCTTCATCATAGCCACACCGCAAAAATCCGCGACAAAAGTCAGTCATGTGTAAATGTATCCCCAAAACGTTGAGATGACAATACATTCCTACCTCCACTTCGATAATTTGGGGAAGATCCAAGGCCCCCGTCCATGTTTGGCCTATGCAAATATGTGCTACAATTGATATTTGCCGTCAAAATGCGAATCCTGAAACGTGACAATGCTTGGATTGGGGATAGGATTCAGTGAGAGGTGCGAAAATGCTTAGCGAAATTATGAAACTGATAGGAAGGGAAGGATGTGAAGGGTTTGGTGAAATATGAAGCTAAAAAAAGAGGGAGAAAGGGTGCTTGAATTTGCAGAAAACATTTAAAGATACATTCGGGATTCTTAATGATTTAATAAGTTTAAAAACTAAAGAAAAATCTCAGTATTCTAAATATCTAGCAAAAGACCTAACAGATTAATCTTTAGTAGACAATTCTTTTAGTAAAATCTTAAAAGCAATTATTTATTTTAAAGACCTACAAATTCCTGCAATTAATATACTCCTTATTCCCCTATTAATTCGATTCCATTTCGATTAATTACTTTCAGAACCCCATTAAATGCCAGAGCAATTGCATTCCTTACTCCTAAGATCAACTGTGCGATGCAATCTTCTCTGAAATCTCCTCCTCCTCTGCAACTTTCATATCATATATCCGAAGCGAAGTTATCCGAAAATGCCTGCAAACCCGGACTGTCAAAACAGGCAAACAAATTGTGCAAATAAGTCGGGGAAATGTTATTTATGTTCGTAGGATTTTCTGTGATTAAATAACCGAACGAAAACCCCTCACCTTGTTGGATAGTTGCAACTGAGTTGAGCTCCAAATGTGTCAGCATCGGTTGCATATTAATGGCCCGGAGGTGTGCATGCCAATTGTCATGCGCTGAAATGCTTGTTAACAACGTCGATTGCTTTTGGTCAGTCCAACGCCAGTCCACCAGTCCCCATCTCCCATCACGAACTCCAACTTCGAATGCAACTCCTATTTCGGCTCCCACTCCTCTGGCCTTTTTCCTCTTTTTAATCAAAAAGAAGTCGATGCTCCTGACTCCCGACTCCAGACTCCTCCCCCGTGGCAATAACGCCACACATTTGTAATGTTGCTTCTGTTTTTTGCTGAAAGAGGAGCCCAGGAAGCGGCAGGAAGACCACAACAACACCAAGGGAAGTCTACACTTGGGGAAAAGTAATGATGTTTTAAAAAGTAATTTACTTTGTGAGGTTAAAGTGGGTTTAAAACAAATTTATGAATATTAATAATTATATTAAAAATAAGATGAAAACAAAAATGTTATAAAATTAAGCATACCTTGGGCATTATACCCTATAATTCCCAACTGGTTCTGACCTTAAACTAGTGCTAAGCTAGCCAAAAAAGCCTGCGTCTAGTTGGTTTGTATTTTGTATTGTTTATGATTTCTTTTTAAAACAGATTTCTTTTCTCAGCGTGCATCTCTTAGATACATTTTACAAGTTACTTTAAGGCAATCAATTTGTAGTGGAATCGCGAGGATCGCCGCCGGAGGACGGAGGGCGATGGGCTGGAAAAACCAATCAAAAGAGCGTTGCGAACGCAAATTGAACGGCAAATGGTTGCGAGATGATATTTCAATACACCAGCCTGCCGGCTACCCGGCTCACCTGTGCCCCAGCAGCTCACCTGTACCCCAAGCACCCTCCCATACACACTTAACCCCCTTGATGGCCCTCCTTTCAGGGGCCATAAATTATTGACGGGCGACGCCTGCGCGTAGTTTTCTTACTTTTTTGCAGTTATGATTATCGCGCCAGGATGGAAACAAGAAACAGAAACCGAAATCGCGTTCCGTTCCGTTCTGTGTGCAAACAAATGTAAAAAATTTTTAATTGACTTTTGCAGTTTTCTCTGCAGTTGCACTTTTTATGGCCCCTCGCGTGTATGGCAGCTTAAAAGTTAATAAAACACGCCCAATGATAACAAGCCGCTAACAACAGCGCACTCGGCCATATATTGCCCCTGAGGTCTTCATCATCTCGCCAGAATAGGCTCCAACATTGTGAGTCGAGATGATCCCGGGTACCGATCCTGGTGCCAGCTAAAGCCAGAGATCCTCACCAGAAGTCGCCAGCTTCGAGCTTCCAGCTCCAAGCTCGTAGAAAAACAATCAATTAGGCCCACAAGTAGCTTCCAACTCTGAGAGGGAGCGCCATAAGATTGGAGTCCAATCACTGGGAAAAAATCAAGAAGAAATTAGAAGGGTTTTTATTTTTTCAATAAAAAAAAAGGATTTGAAAAATTTTTGAATATTTTTAAATAAAGTTCAACCAGCTTATTTTGAATTCAAGCTAGGTTTATGTTATTTTTCCTGTCATTTAGTTTAATTCTCCGAGTGTAGAATGATCATTGATGATGATGATGAGAAGATTCCTTGGTTCGGCTGGTTTGCCTGCCTGGTTGCCCAGTGGCAAAGACACGACTTTGATTCTCTTTCTGCGCCGACTGCCGGAGTTTTATGGCCTGCTTTGGCAGAATTTATGTTACATTTTTATAGTTCCAGTGTAAATTGACTTTTAAAATGCAAAAATTTATCATACCAATGGATGGGGATCGGTCAAGAGAGGCGACAGTAGGGGAAAAGGGGAAGTCCCGAAGCCAACTTTAATTGCTTAAGGTCTGGCAGATGAGTGGCAACTCTGGCAGAAGCTTTGAAAAGCAAAAAGCTTGCTGCTTTAAGGGCGATAAACATCTGCGCGGTTTCAAGAGGAAAACAACCCCCAATAAAAAGTTTACTAAGTTTGATATAATCATCTGAAGACGAAGTTTTATACACCCTTTAAGGTAAATAAATTTTGTTTATTTAAAAAATATAATATAAAATAATAATATATAAATTTATAATGTTATAAAGCATTTCAAAATTATTTTTCTGTACTTTAATTCATTAATTCTATACAAAAAATATACATAAAAATGCATTAAAATTAGCCACATTAACACATAAAACATTATACGAATTTTTATTATTTTTAAACTATTTTTAAAATATAAAAAACGCAAACCTTACCTAATAGCTAAGATACCCTTTCATAAACACCCTCATAACACTAGCAAAAAAGCTTTTTAGCGAGTCAAAACATTTGACAGACCTTGTCCTTCTAAACTCACATTTTTTTCGGTAGTTCACCAGTGCAGTTTGGCCCAAACCACAGGCCAAAGCTCCCGGAAAGTTTGTTTTGCGTGGGTGCCAACATACCTAGCCCACCCCCCCTTTGGCGAGGTCACTGCCAGCAAACCCCACCCTTGGATATTTTTTCGATCCAATTGCATGACGAAACAGCCGCGGAAACAGTTGCGACGCATTCCTCAACTGATTAGCTGCGACGAAAGCGGGAAAAATCCATAAATTGATTGGAGAAAAACCAGAGAAAACTCCTTGGAAAATGCTGCTGCCGTCGGTGAGTGCGGCGTCCGCCGCTGGTTGCAAATGGAAATGCTGTTGTCGTCGCACCTGGGAAATGCTAATGGCTCCGGTTTCACCCAGGAATCTGAGGACCACGGCCCTGCTGACCAGCATCTATCAGTTGGTGAGTGGAAAATGTAGGAAAAACTATGTTTACTTCAAGAAAATATGGTGTTATTGATGGAAAATCATATTGGGAACCTTTTATAGGTGTGGAAATATATAAATAAGAAAAGAATTAAGTCGAAATAAGTTCTATATGAGAGTAATAATATCAATTTCTTCTATCAATATCCGACTAACTAAAGGAAATCCTTAATTTAAGAATATCAAGATTCATTTATAAGGCGGGGCGCAGCGCACAGGACCACTGGCACGCAGGGAGACTGTGAATCCCCGAGCAATCCAAGCGGACCCATTCGAGGTGCAGCCGCCTGCCCCAAAGACAAAAATTACGCACTGGATATGCAAAGCCATACCCCACTGGGCGCGCAAGGAGCCAAAGGCGGCAATTGAACGCACGCCCCCGCCACCCCCCTGGTAAGAGGGGGCAGCGAAGGAGACGCTCCTGCGGCGCAATGCGTCTGCACTTGAGCTCCGTGATCGGGAACGTGCCAGGACGAGCGCCCTTTTTAAATTTTATGCGGCCGCCACAGCCGAAGTCATGGCCAGTTCTGCCTGAAGTGGTTGGGAATTATATGGCACGCAGCCGGTTATCGCTGAATGCAAAGGGGTAACTACTTGGGGAGATCGTTGGCCAGGCTGTTCCGAGTTTCGTTTACGCTGAAATGTATTATTTTGATGATTATTTTTTATTAAATTTGATTAAATTATACAAATATATTATTAGATAAATAATAAAATATATATATAAATACTAATACATTCCCCCTTCTTTTTCTCCCACAGTTGATCTCCCATTGTGCCCTCTTTCTGGTGCTTCTGGGCCTGGCTCATGCCGAGCAAATGTGCCATGTCCTGGAGCTGGATATCCTGGACCAGAAGGACAATGGCTTCTACAACATGTCACCGTTTCACAACGATCTGAGACTGCAGACAGCAGCTCAACTGGCGGCTGCCACTGAGAATGTGCTCTATGTAATGGCAGGCATTGCTGGAACCTATGCCTTGAGTGCCATATCCCTGTTCTTCGGGGTCTACAAAAATCGTCCTGGCTTGATTATACCCTGGCTGATTGTGGAGTTTCTGCTGATGATTGCTCTGGGAGCTCTCGTGTTTATGCTGAGGGACTCCAAAGTAGCGCAGTTTCTGGGCGGCCAAGTGCCCTACTGTGAGTGGCAAAAAATTTATGAAATATTGGAATATTTTTTAAAGATACTTTCTCTCTTTTACAGTTATTATCTGCTATAGTATGATCTGCATGGATTACTGCAAGTGGTATGTGATGCACAGCTTCTATCAGAGCCTGCGGACTATGAACAAACTCCGGGAAATAGCCACTGTGGCTATTCCCTGTCCAGCGCCAGGGGCTGTAAGTTGGCAACTATAGTTAAAACCATATATTTCATATATAAATCCATCTTACAGATACCCTATCATTTCAAACGCGAGCACATGTATCTGGGCAGCAATGGCTACAAGCACATCCTAACCGAGTCTCCAGATGGACAGTGCTAAGTCCCTGATCCTAGAGATATAGAATTTTGTTTGGAACTTCCCCATCAGGTGTCTTGATTGCAATTTGCCTTGCAGTTTCTGTATGGCAAAACCGAGTGTGATATGGATATAGCAAAGATACTATTTTAGATAGCCAATGGATATGGACCGAGGGGCATATTAACAGATATAACAGATAAATCGTCTATATCCCCAGCAGGCAGTGCCTGAAATCGTTGGGAGCTTGAGGGATCGTTTGCCAGCAATATAAAATGCAACTATTTTTGTGTAGAACTAAATATTAAAGTCGGTAAGCCGCGTTACTCACTTCAGCACTTGAATACAATGGTAGCAACGAAGTTAATTTTAAAATGTTTAAAATAGAGAAAAATATATGTTAAAAAGAACAATGAATCCTAGACTATAATATCTGAGCTACCGCAAGTCAAGTTAACTTGGAGTTAAAGTAGATTTTTTTTAACATAAAGCTTTGAAATTGTTTGAAATTAAATTTAAATAGCTACGAAAATATTTGTTAACTATTATTGGCCTTAATTTACTCTAACTTGCAACTTTTTAAGCACAAAACCAAAGTGAAAAGAATATGAATATCAAATAAAAAGTGCAAATATGAAGCATATATATGACTTTGTAAATATAAAATATTCAATAATGGGTAACATAATTGTTTAAAAATTAATTACCAGATTTACAAGCTTTAAAAAATGTTTCACATTACCTTCGATATATTTACTTTAAAATCTAGCAACAAGTTTTTAGTGCTTTTATTTGTTTTTGGCCGCAACTACAAGTATATTTTGTTTCACATATTTTTTGTTTACTTAAATATTTGATTTTCCTTAACCCTTCCTGCCTTTTGGCTTGTTAATCGATGGTGCCATTGTGGTTCTACTAGTGCCTATTGTTGTACTTCGAGTGGTTGAGGAACCCATCAGGGTCATGTCATTATCCAAGCTATCCATAAGCAAATCCACCACTGTGATGTTGTTACTGCCCTCCGAGTCACCTTTGTCGGTGGGAATACTGATCTGAAACTGGAGCAACACTACCAGATAAGTGACCATTGTGGTTATCAGCCCCTTGAATAAACTCCTGTTAACATCGAAGAAACCGCCACAGTTAATAGTTGAGGGATTCATTTCGGTGGCCCTGAGAAACATGTTGATCTCCGTCTGGGCATCCGAATTCATCCAGTTCAGCTCCACCATAAGAAGTTTCTTCTGGAAATTAGTTCGCACATTCACCGAAGCATAATGAGCCTCATCGCAGATGTAGAACAGCAGTCCAATGTTCCACAAAGCCGTAATGGTAAGTCCTATGTCCTTGATGCCAAATCCCTCCGAAAGCTGCGACATCAAACCGTAAATCGACAGAGTGATGATGAAGAAGAGATACAGACTCATAAAAACAAAGGTATAGCACATGGCATTGCCGGTGTCCCGGGTCAACTTGCTCAGGCGAAGCCACAACACCCGGTAGTCCGCCACCATGGCAGCGGGTCCAATATGCTTCAAGGCCTTCTGGAATCGCTCCGCCAGCAGATGAGCCGTATTGCTCATGGCCTCGCAGATGAGAAACCACCAGGCACCCAACATGGCCGTCAGATTGTCCAGGATACAATAAGGAACCACCTGATTGATGTTCAAATCCGACATAGTTACATGAGTGATGACAACCGATAGAACCGAGAGAATGGGCAGCACGACGGCGATGTAGACGGCCTTCTGTCGCAGATTCAGAGGCAAACTATGGCCAGAGATCTGGTAGTAGAGCACCTCAAAATCATCCCAATCGTTGAACAATCGAGCTATTTTCCTGGCCTCCCACCACAGGATGGGTATGATCATAATGGGCAGGATATTGACCAGGAAAAGGTAAGCAATCACCGCCTCCTCGAAGGGTCCGCTCAGGGAGCGCACAATATGGATGCGATTGTTGGCCACATAACCCACATAGCACTGTGTATTAAGGATTATATAACTTTCTAGACTTTACAGATTTTCCTTTCCAACTCACCGCCAGGAGCACAAAGAAAACCACAGAGTATATGAACGGAGCTGAGTTCATCTCAAACTTGGCACGGGCAGGACCACGTCTAACGATGGGCAAGACGCCAATAATCCGCAAGAACCAGTTGACAGGAGAAATGTTTCTGTAAAACACACTCTATTCCCATTTCCTTTAAAAAAATTCTTTACAAAAAAAGAACTCCAAACTTACTGGGATAAATTCCGGATTGTTGGAGGCGGTGCTATCCGAGGTCTTCTTCCTGTCCATCGGCGGCGCCTCGTAGTCCGCATCCAGGCGCTCGGCCAATCCTATCGAGTACTTGCGGACCCCATACAAATAGGCCTGGGCATTGGCGCTATTCAGGGGCTTGGCGTTGAGAAATACCGCATCGGGCTTCTTGCGGCGATAGTAGTTGGCCATTCCGGAGGAGACTGTGCCCGGAATTTCCGTGCCCGTGGCCTTTTACCCGCCAGACAGCTTAAGCATTAGCCATGCACCAGGCCCACGCCCCCATATCGACCACGCCCCTTGCTAGTTGACTTAGAGCCGGAGTTTTAGTTTCCTGTTGAAGTGCGTTGTTTGTCTTTTGAATGCATTAACCTTAGCCTGGTGTCCCAGTTTCGGATTCGAATTTGTGTCAATGGCGGGCAATGCAAGGATTTGCAACACTGGAAGGATTTTCCAACACTGGAGTGAACTGCTTTACCAATAACTTGTACTGCTTGCTTAATGTTCATAAGTGTGACCAGCTTCTAGGTTAAACAAAATCCTCTAGTTTGGCCAGTGTTTTTGGTCCCTCTTGATTTAGCCTAAAAAAAGAACAACAAAAAACGAAACACCGAAAAACAAGAACAAAACCAGCTTTTTTTAGCAATTATTCTTGTATTGGTAGCAACGACAAATATAAGGCCACGCGATGATAAGCTTTCTGTTCATTGTAAACCGCGCGCTCAGCAGCAGCAGCAACACGGCAGCGACCTTGACAGGCAAGAAGATGTCCGCCGCGGGACCACGCCCCCTCGTCCTCTGCGGCCCCTCTGGGTCCGGCAAGAGCACGCTCCTGAAACGCCTCTTTGCCGATTTCCCCAATACCTTTGGCTTTAGCATCTCGCACACCACGCGGAAGCCGCGTCAAGGCGAGGAGCATGCCGTCCACTACTATTTCGTGGAACGTCCAGAAATGGAGGCCGCCATCGCCGGCAACGAGTTCATCGAGACCGCCGAGTTCTCGGGGAATCTGTATGGAACCAGCAAGGCAGCCGTGCGGGAAATTCAGGCCCAGGGCAGGGTCTGCATTCTGGACATCGAACAGAAGGGCGTGGAGCAGATCCGACGAACGGATCTCAATCCGATTCTCATCTTCAACAATCCACCTAGCATCGAGGAGCTGGAGCGCAGACTACGGCTACGTGGCTCCGAGACGGAGGAGAGTCTGCGAAAGCGTTTGAACGCCGCCCAGGTGGAGCTGGACTACGGACTAACGGAGGGCAATTTCCACAAGATCATCAACAATGTGGACATTGATGTGGCCTACCAGGAGTTCCGCGACTTTGTGGTCAAGGAGCTCACAGAGCAGGCCAACCAGGGTGTGCCTGTCATCCTGAACTAAGGAAAGGTGCAAGGATAAAAGGACGACACTCCCAACCAGGGTGCAATGATATTAACCTCAAAAGGGGACGCCGGGTCTAGGCAGTAGTTGTTACCAAGATTTGTGGGTGGTAAGTAAGGGGGTTTTCTGAGGAGTTTCTGAAAGAGATTTTAAACTGGAAACTACGGGTTGTGGTTTGTTTTTTTGATAGGAAAATGTAGTTTTTATTTATTTTTTATGCAAATATTAAGCTTAGTGTATTAGCTTAATTTACCTTAACAGAAACCTTGCTATTAGAATTCATGAAAAAAATATTTTTTGTTTTCTTTTAGAATATTTATTTAAAGGTTCTTAACATATTAACGAAATGGTTCTTTAATTTCATATTTTCTGAAAGAAAAAGCTTTTCATTTTTAAGTGTAATCAAATTCTTAAAACAAACCTCATTCAAGACTCTTAAAAACTAATTGAAAACCTAGTTTATTTTTGAAAATAGCTTTTATATTTTATAAGAAAATAAGACTTTATTTAGTTCAATTTAATAAAAAGAGACTTTAAAATATTGTGTTCTTTTGGTTCTTTTAAAACCGCCAACAAATCGAACTCTATCCATAGTTTCCAGTAATAAATAACTCTTGAAACTTCCCATAAATAAACCTACCTTAGGCCCACCACTTCTCCTGGGTGATCCATGCCAATTGAAGGACCCGTTGCCCCTACCACCACGTTGACTAATGGCATTTATACTTAAGGAATGGCTTTGTATTTATATTAACCACCTCCTGCTCCTCCTCCTCCCTCTCATCCCCATTGTCCTCCCCCCATTTGTTGTGCAGAAATTCGTTGTTGTAATTTGTAATCTTAAGCTGAAAGTTGTTGCGCTGCTGCCTTCACGGTTGAAAAAACGGAATCAATAAAGCAAACAATATGCGGGTATTAAAAATATTGTATTTTCACAAACGTTCTCTGTACAAGCAGCAGCTGGAACTGGACTGGAGCTGGGAAGGTCAAAATGTTATCGTCTACACGCAATCGAGCGATTTCCCTCAGCCAGGGGCCTCTGTCTGGAACTCCCATCCCGGCGGATCTGTTTACCTATCGAAGGTAACACGCAGTCCCAGACGAAAGTCCTGCTCGGAACCTTGGATTACGAGGGATACGCATTTGGCTTAGCATAGTCATGGTGCAGGTGTAAGCGAGCCTGGTATTTGGTTGTGCCGCCCATACCCGATTGCGTGCCGCCCTGGGTGCGATGCACAAAACTGGCGGATCCATCCACCTTGGTTCGACTGTCGGCGCTTTGCCACAGGCCGGCTATTGCCTCCAGTGCCAGTTCCGTCTCATCGTCCTTGTCGTCATGCTCCGCGGAGAGCGTCAGATCGATCTGGCGGCGGTGGCGAGGAGCGGAGGAGGCCACAAAGGCGCTGGAAACAACGAGCAGCAGCAGCAGGAGGTACCGGAGCGCACGCATGGTGAAAACAAACTGAACAGATGCCTGACTCGAGAATAATAATCGGAGGCTTTGTAATTTTGTTGTTGATTTAGCAGCTGGCTTATCAACGGATTTATTGCGCTCGCTCTCTCTTCTCTCATTTCCATTTGCCGTAGATTAATTAGTACTAAGTGGGGACTAGGACTGCAGCAGACCTCTTAAACCTTGGGCTCCATGATCTGTGCGGGCGGCCAGTCCCATTGCTTGGCGGGTGCCGCTTGGGCCAGCTTCTCCCAAGGCTTCCAGCCCAGCATTTTGCGGGCCAGCACTAGCTCGTTTTCGGCCTGGACAATGAGCTCCTCAACCTGACCACAGCCCACGGCTTTCTCCAGGGCAGAAATGTCCTTGTTCTAAAAGCAATACATAGTATTAAATGTGATATTTTTGAGGATTGAGGAATATAATCAAACCTTTGCCACTGCATCAGCGCGTTGCTTGACCAACTGCTCAGTGTACTTCCTGTAGTTGGCCTCCTGTGGCATCTTGGACACCGCCCGCAGGATCTTGCCATACAGAGCACTCAACGTATGGTGGGGATTGGTGGACACGGCCAATCCGGTCAAGCCCGTGGACTGCAAGGAAGGAAGCGATGACATAACCATAACAACTAGCGGAATTTAACTAAACTTGCAGGTAACACACTTTATCCTTACACATCAGATAGTCCTTTATTTATATTTATAGTGACTTACCGCCTTGATAATCTTGGCCATCTTAAAACAGCGTTTTTAGCCGGAAAAGCAGAAATTTTCAACAAATTTGTATTTTTGTAGTCGAACCAGCAACAGCTGTTGGGTCTGCCAACTTGCTTCAGTTTTAGTGTTGAAAAGGTTCGGAGGGATTTTTAGTGCGGTGAAAGTGTTCATCAAAAATTGGATAAGCTAAACGATAGTTTGGCGGGTAATTTAAAAATATAAAATATATATTTAACTTTAATTTTCCCCTAACATTATGTAAATAATGATGAACAGAAATAAATATTTATTATTTTTAAGAGAATAAAACACTTTCAATTTGCAGTTTTTAATTTATTCTTCTTTTTTTATATCTTAAAGATAAAAATAAAATATTAAACAATTTATTTTCGACAAAATGCTCTCTTTGCATTAATTTCATTTTATGGGATTCATTTTATTTATCACATTTCAGTTGTTACATGTATAAAAATGAGGCGCTTGTGTGAATTTTAACAAAAAAAACTACCCGGTGTGAGGTGAGGCTGTGAGTATTTCCTAATGATGTGATTGTGCTTAACTGGCTAAATACTAATTTCTAAAGGAATCTACAAATATAAAAGCAGATCCTGAACTAAGTAGTATTAACGACAACAGGTGTAGATGCCACGCCAAAGGCCGATATCAGGACATTGACCACTGTCACAATAAAAATGCCGATGACTGTGTAATTGTTGACTCTGTTCGCCCGACAGATATCTTGCTCGTTCTTAATGTTGTACCGGCCATTCCAAATAAGTCCCACGCCAACAGCAATCTGCAATGAAGCATCACATAAATATAAATATCAATAATGCCAAAAATAAATGCTTAAATTTAGGAATATACCAAGTACAGTGTAGCTTCGTTCTTTGTTAATTTAAAAAAATATATATAGTATTTGCTAAACTCTTTTGTTATATTTTAGTAATCTTTTTTTCAGTAGGCCATTGTCTCTTTGTGTTTCCTAAAGTCATAAATCATTTTGCAAGAAACCGAGATTTGTATATTTATACAAATTTTATTATCTTATCGTATAAACATTTTCTGATAAACACTTGAAAACAGCTTGTGAGTCTATGAGCTTAAATTAAAATAGCTTAGATTCTTGGTGAAAAACCAAACAAAAGTTTTTCTAATGAAAACAAATGCCTTTTAAGATACCATATTTTTCTTTTCTGATTCTACATATATTCGGATTTTAAAATATATATTTCTTACCTGAAATACAATGCTGAGTGAGATGAATATCAAGCTGGGATAAAAGTACGGATGCTGAGTATTCGTTTCCAGTACATAACGCAGCTGATTGGCATTTGCCGAAAGCAGAGCCAGATCCATCATACCCTGGGCCAGGGTCTTCTTGTGCTGATATGCATTGACATCGGGAACTGGAGTCTCCACTCCGTCAATGGTCACAACACCCGATGTTCCATTGTATCCCGGAAAGGAGAAACTGGGTCGTCTGCCGCCTCCTCCGTTGGGAATGAGTACAGTGACCCCACCACCGGCGTTGCCTCCAAGGAGACCATCGTCTACACCGGGATTACCACTCCCATCTTTAACAAAGGGACGATCGTCGTCATCATCATCCGTTTCGGGAACTGTTAAATAATAAATAAAAGCATCAATATTAAATTTTTACTTTGGGGCTTAAGTTACTTACACAAAACAATGCGGTTTACATTAATTGTAAAGATTAAAGATTGCGGTTTCAAGCACCATTAGTCACAAGAGCGTTTAACATATAGTAGATATAGACAAGCACACAGAAAAATGGATTCTAGTTTTTGTTTTCCTTTTTTTTTGTCAGAGATATACAAATAAGTTGGAATACGAACCTGCTCGGGGCACTCGTACATTATTACGTCCATCGATTGCATCGCCATTGCTGTGATTGTTGATATTTTCCTATAGAAATGTAAATGAGAACATTTCCTGAATATTAACATGTTTCGTATAAAACTCTAAGGTTATTGTTTAAAAATGCAAATCAAGTTTGTAAACAGCACAGCTTCCGTTTGAATATTCTAAATTATTTGCATTCCGATTAATGCAATTGAATAGTTTATGTGATTTATAAATATTTGTATAGTGTACATATGTACATTAAAAAATGCAAAAGATAAGCCACAGGGACAAACATCAATTGTAAGTCGCGCTTATCTGACAAAGCTAGTTGTGGTGGTTAAAAAAAAATACATTAATGAGCAGATAATCGAGCTTAAATCAAGCATAAAGTCATATATAATGTAATTATATTTCAATAATGTATATAAAATATATTTAACTGATTAGGGATAAATAAAAATAAACGACAAAGACTTCAAGAAAGGGGATTGTTGGGGTTTATTTTAATATAAATATATTTAAATGATTAATTTAGTTATTAAGTATATTTTATATATATTTAAATGATAAGGGTTATTTAAATATAAAAAACAGAGACTTCAGGAAAGGCGAAAACTACAATTATTTCCCTAAGAAGTTAAAAAAACGTTTACATTAATTGAATTATAAATTGTTTATGTAGTTACATCCAATTTCTATTCTCAAAAATAATACAAGACAAGACAGTAACACTTTATTATATCTTACAACTTCCATAATTAATGCTGGAAATCCCCAGACATTGCTATCTATAACTTGTTATTGTTCATGCAATGTTGCAAGTAAAAACCCCAAGATCCCAAAATGAGAGATCTTTATTGAAGCTGCAAAGGGGGATCTATTTCAATGACTAAGTCTTGTGGGTTTTTTCCGCTTCAGCTGCCAAAATGTTAATCCAAAAAATGTTAATCTTCTCCGGGAATAATCTACCCCTCTGTTTACACGACAATTATCGGATACTAGCTATATCTAGTAAATATATCTACTGTATCTTTATACCCTTGCAGGGTATTATAATTTCAGTCAGAAGTTTGCAACGCAGTGAAGGAGACGTTTCCGACCCTATAAAGTATATATATTCTTGATCAGCATCAACAGCCGAGTCGATCTAGCCATGTCCGTCTGTCCGTCCGTCTGTCCGTCTGTCCGTCCGTCTGTCCGTCTGTCCGTTTCTACGCAAACTAGTCCCTCAGTTTTAAAGCTATCTTAATGAAACTTTGCAGATAGTCTTCTATATACTCTCACTGCTATATATGTCGGAAGGGGCCGGATCGGACGACTATATCATATAGCTGCCATACAAATGTTCGTTAAATTTTTAGAAAAAAAATTTTAACTTGGCTGTTTTTCAATATTATGGCATCATTTTTGAGATATAGCCTTTTTATATTATTCCAGAATTTTGGTAAAAATTTTATGAAAATCGGACGACTATATCTTATAGCTGCCATAGGAACGATCGGGAAATTAATAGAAAAAAAAAATTAAAGATTCGTTGTTTTTCAACGTATTTTCATCTACTCCGGGGTATAAGCTTATTTTATTATTCTAGAATTTTTGTATAAATTTAAAAAAAATCGGACAACTATATCATATAGCTGCCATATAAACCGATCGGTAGATGTAGAGAAAATGTAAAGCTGGGAATGCAAAACTGTAACTGTCAAACTGTAAACATAATAAGTATAGGTAAAATGTAATGAAATAATATCTGCAAGGGTATACAAACTTCGGCGTGCCGAAGTTAGCTTCCTTTTTTGTTTTTTTAGAAATATTCATCAGCAAAGTAAACAAAGCTGAGATTTATAGGCAATTGTTTACCCTAGTCTAGCAAATAATAGCTACAAACTCACTTGATTTCTCGCCAAAGTTTTATCATCGTCCAGCGGCAGCTTATCCATTTGAAGTGCAATATGCTCTAGGTCACTCATTTTACAATTAATTAATAACAAACGTAAAAAACGTCTTCGGGCAATTAAAAGCGAAGAATTTCTGTATGTTCGTTGAGGCTAAATTAAATTCTTTGTTTTTTAACTGTATCTTTTGGTTGGAAATCACTCGAGTGTTGTTTTGTATTTCTTTTTTTGGTTTCTTGGTTAATACTCGTGCGCGTTCTGCGACTGCTCGGCACGCTATTTCTCGGACAACTGACCAGAGATTCGAATGAAATTGCGAATATTCTCTCGGGTCCACTTGTTTGGCCGCTCAGTGGCGGTCGCCAGCGGTTACGTTTTCCCCAAACAATCGGACACTGGGGATTTCACGTTCTCAGTCTATACAAAGTTACAACAAGTTTGTGGTTTTTTGTAATTCAAAAAAACACAACATTCTCTAAAGAGTATGTGTGTTGGAGTGGTGTAAATAAGCTACCGGCAGGCACAGAGAGAAAGATTATGAATGATTTAATGATGTTTTATAAAGAAAAATATATAAGAAATATAAATTAATATACAGATCGTTAGAGAGAATTATATTTTTGTAAGGTAGGTTCTTTTAAAATTTTAAAATTATATATCTAACTACTAATTTTAGGGGTTTTAATAAATTATTCTGAATTTATCTAAATATTTTTTTGATATAATATTACTAACAGTGACTAAATAATTTCACTGCTATTTAAAAATATAAATTTTTTGTTAAAAAATAAAAGTTTTTTTTATAAAAATACCAAAAACATTTACTTATTTTTTAGGTAATAAATAAAACCCCCCTTTTATTAAATTTAAATGTAATTAAACCAAAAAATATTCTTTCTGTGTTCCTAAAAAAAAGTTGTATGAAGCTTGTTCACCTTTTCTCTCCCTCTCTTTATTAACTTTCTCTCTTTCTCCAACTAACCCTCTCTCTCTTTCTTATGGTGAATTATTTCCGTAGTCTAGCACGCTAGTTCCTCGTTTGCATTAAAATGCATTTAGCTTGCATTTAATGCTGATACGTCATTGCACTCAGCTCGATAACCTAGAGCGTTAATATAGATTAATTTAGCTGCTCGCCTTTTTTCTTGCTTTTTTCGCTGTGTGAAAAACGCGATTTCTTGGAAAATGCCCAAATGAGCTAGCAGGAAAATGTCACAGGGAATATTTTCGCTCGCCCGTTAGTCATCAAAATGCGGGAACAGGTAGGAGGAGGCGTACTACTCATTGAGGACTTTCACAATTGAAAAGAATCGAGTTCTTTAGGCCTTCTCGAAACTGGAAGAAGAACGCAGAAACCGGTTGCCGGCCGATTGGTAGCATTAAGCATATACAAAACATACCATGAGTTTACTTTTTGAGCATCTTTATGACATGTGAAGCTGTTGGTAAAATACCCAGCGGCTATCCCATATTTCTTGAATTTATTTTTGGCCAATGAGAACGTTGACTTTGGTTTTAAATGGGCGCAAATTGAATGCCAGACAAGAATTATGAAAACGTAAACAGAAAAACTTTGTTGTAAAAATGTGTGAAAAGAAAATATAAGATATATTTGCATATTCTTTATTTATTTTTAGGAAGAGCCGAAGATGCCGAAAAAATCAATGAGCCATTAATAGAAAAAATACAGCTATGCCTTTACTCAAAATAAATAATAATGTAATTTCTTGCCTTTTAACCGTTTAGTGTCAGTTATTTTTCAATTTGGTCTGAATTTTAAAATTTGGCGCCTTTCAGCAAGTATCGGCCATTCATCGTTTTGTTACTTTCGATATTTCCTTTACATATACCAACACTGGCTCTCAAAATTGCGTTTTCCTCAAACCGAAAGTGGCTAACGCCTTTTAGAGTCAATTCACGCGCATCTATTTGAATTTGAATTTCCCGCTAAAAGTATATTAAGCTTTTCACTAAAATTGTATTTTAAATTTGCAAATCCATTTTTTTATTACATCTCTATTTTAAATTAAACTACAAACTGTATTTATAAATTTTTATTATTATGTTTTTAATTATTAATATAATTTATTTATTAAAAATAAGTTTAAAAGTTCTTAAATTAATAAAATAAATTTCTAATTTATATAAAAAAAATATATTCATAATTATACTCGCCAGAAAAATGTAAAAATAAAAACATTTTGGCTCATAAAACCGAAATAAAAAGTATAGTAATATTTTGTGCGTGGAAAACTCTCGAAAATCCTTGTAAATCGCGGCGTAAAAACTGTATACTGTGTTCGAGTGATTAAAGCAACGTTTAATTTACATGCTGATTATAAATGCAAGCCGCAGACGCAGCCGCAACATCACATTTTCCGCTGTCAAAAGTCTTGCATTTCAGATGCACACCGATTGCAGTTGTATGCGCGTGTGTGTGTGTGTGAGGGGTGCCAATTGAGACTTCTGAGGTAAATAGTACATACAACTTTAGTTAATTAGTCGTTTCGGTTAATATGGTAATTGAATGTGCATGTACCGACGTTTACAACTATATGCGTACATGTGTTTAATGCACGGCAATAATCTGGCAACTGTTATGTCATTGGGCTTGCATAAATTATGATTGCATGGCCAATGCGTGTGGGTGTGTGTGTGTGTGTGTGTGAGTGCGGGAGGTGCGTATGCTGATGTGAAAGCAAGAGCGAGAGGGGGAGTTATCAATCCTTCCTTATCCTTTGGCCCAAATCGAAGCGAGTGAGTGTGTTGATAAAATATTTATTAAAAATGTAAATAATTATTATTTATATTAAATTATAATAGAATAATCTATAATCTCTACTCATATTTAATTTTAGATTATTTTGCTTATTTATGTAGTTAATATTAAAAAAAATTAACTATGTTTAATAAGATTTAAATGTAGTTTAAAAGTACTAAACCCGCTTGATAAGTAACCCAAAAATGTAACCCATAATATTTATATTTATCAAGAATATAATCCTTGTACATAACAAGAATCCACCTACTTGAATATGCATTCCCATTTTGTCGCCTCCCATTGTAATCGCATGTACAAGGACAAACAATCATGTCCTACACTGGTTCCATCCCAAACCCGCCCCCCCCCATTCCCATCCCCGGTATGCATGCATAATCGTCAAGCAAAACCCAAACCGAAATGGCGAGCACGTAAACGGAAACCCAACGACAATCGCACATTTCCCAATAATTATATTTCAATGCATCAGAATTTCAGCAGGACAGTCGTCTGGTTTCCGCAGGACAACACCAACAAATAACAGGCGGAATAATAACGCCACCAGAGCAGTGGAATCATCATCATCATCATCTTCAGCATCATGATTGTGTTTATCAACATTGGCAGTAGCAGGAGCAGGAGCAGGGACAGCTGGCCATCGCCATTGATACAGTTATGAAGGCCTGGGAGCATAACAAAAGCCTCTGGTCAGTTGACTGCCATGCCACCTCCTGCGATGTTCTGCGGTGAAAAGGGGGAAGTATCGTGGTTTTGGGTGGGTGGTGGCCATGTTGGTTGGTTGGATGTGAGTGTATGTATGTGCGCCGGTGTGTGGTGTGGTCGGTCATTATCTGTTTAACAGTTCCACATTTAACGATGAAACGTCCGCTGGCATTGCCAGCTCGTCATGATACAGCCACATTTGAGTGGGCGGCTCACAAAGGCCACGACCAACCCACTGCCAAACCAGCCCCTTAATTCCCTTTTGCCAATCTGGCTACTAGAGATGGTACGATTTTATATAGACTCATGGGATAGGATAATGTATAAAAAATCATAATTTATAAGTCCTTTTGACCTTTATTTCTAATCTAATGGAGTTAATTACCTTTTACAATCAAAGATTTACCTCATAAAGTATAGATAAATATCTAGAGCAAAGGTTTTATTTCCTTTACCCTAAAAAGAAAACGAAATCCAATTAATTAATGAACTTTTATCCACCTGACCCCTTTTAATTGAGCGCCTAATTGCCTCGGCATTTTCTAAATGCATGCAGATTAATCATATTTTCATCCTGACTCTCTTCGAAAACTACAGCTCTTTGCTTTAACTGGATTAATCCATAAATGAGCCATCAATAAGTTGGGCCATCCCTGGATCTGTCCAGCTCCTGGTGCCGTGTCCTGGCATATTGTGTGTATTACAAACGGACAATCAACGGACAGGCATGGGGCCAATAAGTTTATTACTTACCTCGGCGCATTGCTCAACCAACCGTGCTCGGTTCGGGAAAAGGACAGCCGGGAGGTAGGTGGATCCGGATGGCAGAGGGCAGAGTCCTTGAGCAGGAAGCCAACGAGCACACACATGCCCGATGCTCGACATTGGAACGCATCATCTTGCCGTGGATAATTCATGAAATGCACATCATTGCCTCAATAATGATTGCCGTTATACACACACACACCAACACCGGACACGCCTCAATGGCTGTGTATACAAAATGTATTTGAATATCCTGGAAAGGACAGAGAGGGAGTCCCCTGCCCGTCTGCTTTCTGTGTGAATGTGTAAGGATGACTTGGTATTTGTGGATACTGGGCATCCCTTTGCTTTGTTGATTGTCGAATTAGATGGCAGATACCAACTAAATCTTGTGTCAGTGATTCATACAATTGCATAAATACATGGGGGAGACTGCTCGCATTTCAGCCCTATTTCTTTGCTTTGCTTTTCTAATTTAAAGAATCACATTAATTCGTTAAGAATTCTTAGTTGTTTATACAGAAATCAGAAAACGCAAATAAGAAAAGAATATTCCCCCTTAAGATTTAGAGTTTCAAAACAATAATTCCTAATTGTACAAGGAAATCTGTCCAATATTTGTCAAAATATTTTAAGTAAATAAAAATTAATTAATGCAGAAGTGTAAAAACAAAGAAACAAATATTTCTAACTGGGTTTTGATTTGAAAACTCAGGGGTAAAATTTATGTTGTTAGAATAAAAGTCTTAAGTATGGACTAAGTAAGCAAATTCTGGTAAGAAAAGTAAGTCTTCTAAATATATTTCAATAACTGAATTACAAATTTAAAAAACCGTACAACCCAACTTTAATTTTAAAGAAATTATTAAGCCACATTATCATACTTAGACTAAGCTTAAGTTTTAAAGTAAATCACATGTAATAAACAGGTATTACTTAACAAACTTAACTATTAAACAATTAAATCATAAAAGTCTCCACTTTTATTACCCCTTTAAAAATGTAAACTAGTATTGCCTTCAATTAATCAA